ATACTTTTTATTTAAATTTTAAATATTCTTTTTAAATTAAAAAACAATTTATTTTAAATTAAAATATACAATTAAATATTTATATAAAATTATCAAACTTAAAAAATATTTAAAATGTATTAAGTGTTGTATTTAAAATGATACTATATTAAAAACATAAATACAGTGCTGTTAAAAATTTTTTATTTTATATCTGTTATTTATTTAATATATTAAGAAAAAATAATTATAAAATTTTTTAACGATTGATTTAGTATTATTTTTGCAGTTCTTTTAAACATATTTTTACTATATTTTTATAATATAAACATTTTAGCTAAACTAAAATTATTACAATAAACTATAATGTCGTAATTGAAACTAATAAATTTCTTTTTTATATTTTTTGGTACTATTTTGGTATCTATTGAAATGTGTTTTTATATTCATTAAATATTTTATAATTCTCATATTAATAATATTTTGATATTATATTTTTAGTCTAAAAACCCACAATTTCATTTTTTAAAAAGTTAATTTAAAATACTTATATTAATAATATTTTGATATTATATTTTTAGTTTAAAAAACCCATAATTTCATTTTTTAAAAAGTTAATTTAAAATACTTTATTAATATACAATTGTTTTTATCTGCCATTAACTTGTATATTATTAATAAATGTTATAATATAATTCAAAAACATTACTTGTTATAAAACGCAAATCTCCTAAAGAATTTAATCTCTTTCTACTCTATTGTTCAATTTTTCTTTATATTAAAAATTTTTAGGTAAAGTAATTTTTTAAATTTGTTTAAAAATTGTTTGATTTTTTAATATTAATAAAACGTATATCCTATGTAATAGTAGAATTTAAAGTAAATATAACAAAAATGTTAATAATTAAGGAATAAATACCATCTAATCTAAAAATCTAAGGTTTAAATATTATAGAATAAACATTATATGGGAAGAATAAAAAGTTAATATATAATGACCCATCAATATTACTCAATAAATCTTTATTAACTAAAATATATTGGAAAAAAGAAACATACGTAATAAATAAACTATTTTTAATTTCACTTGGAAATATAGATGATGGTTTGAGGAGTGAATAGAACCATCAATTAAAAATTTAAACTCAAATATTAAATTTTTTTTCTAATATAAACTTTTAAAAATGTTTTGATTTATTAAATGTTTTATTTATACCAGTCTTTAAACAAAATTAAATTTGAGATTCGATTTAAAAAGAATATATATAATATTTTTAAATAACAAAAACACTTTTGAAGTTTTTAAATTTATTAACTTTGAAAATAAAAAAGATTAGTTTTTAAAATTACATTTTATTTCTATTAAAAAAAGATTTTTTTAAATTATTATTTAAAACATTTTTTATACCAACTCTTCATTCTACTTATATCTAAACATCTTTATGATAGTTGTTAGTATATTTTATATATATTTCAATCAATCAAACATCAGTTTTATTTATAAAATTAATATTTAAGTTTTTTTAAAACTTTTTTTTCATTTAATTTTATTATAGAAACTTTAAGTTGCTTCTTGTTTTAAAACATAAATTTTTTTCTTATCAAAAAATTTATAACACTTTATAAATTTTATTTAAAATCATTATTATATAAATATGAAAATCTTTCTTGTTGTATTACAATTTAAAGTAAATTTTGATTTAAAATCTTTTAAAGGATGAGTTTATCATATTATAATTTAAAATATTAATTTATATATCTTTTAATATATTATCACACTCTTAGTTTTCATTTTTATTACAAGAAGAATATTTAATGTTTTTACTTCTTGCTTGGTTTAAATCCAACATACTTTTATGATCATTACTAAAAGGATTAAGTTTTAATTTATCTGAAAATATAATAATATATGAATAATCATTTAAAAAGCTTAATAAATTATTTAAAATTTCAAATATTTTTTAATATTCATTTTATTTAAAATTAAATGTATTACAGAGTGATAGGTAATAAACCGTCAAATAAAAAATCTTACTAAACACACTAATATTTTATTCTAAAAGTAAATTTTGAATGAAATTTATAGTAATATATTGTTTGTCTGATACTCTTTAAAAAAATTTTATGTCTCTCATATAATTCTTTTTACTAAAGATTCTATTTTCTTATTTAAAAATTAACATTTAAAAACCATTTAACATAGATTTTTACTATCTTTTAAAGATTCTATTTAAAACTTGTTGGTCTATTTGTTGAATATCAAAAAATATCTTACTCAATTATGAACTTTTTGTGCCTAAAAATTCTTTAAAGCAAAGATAATCTATACGAATATTTTTAATAAATTATAACTTTTTTTATTAACTAATTATTTAATCAAATTATATTAGTTAATTGAAACACATGGTAATTAATTAAAGCTTTTTTAACGTTTGAGAAAATAACTAAAAAATTATCATAAATAATAATTAAATATTTGTTAAATTTAAAAACAAAATTTTATTAATACTTGCAATAAAATTAGAAGTTTTATTTCGGTTGCTACTTTAATTATTTTTGACACATAAGTTTATTACACATGAAATTTAATAATTTTTAAATTTACATACCAGTGGCGGTTAAAAAAACGCAACTGATAAAAAGTGATATAAAAAATGTTACTTAAAAAACAATTTTCTTATATATATTAGTAATACGGGTGTATAAATAAATGTTCTTATTTTAAAGAAAACTGTTTATTTATGGCTAGTAAACTAATAAAAATTTTAAACAGCTGGTCAAAAAATTTGCAACTAAAAATTTAATATTTACAATGACCACCTTCAGATCTAAAAACTGCTTCGATTTTTCTTTCCATAGAGTTAATATAAGTTTGGCAAACCTGTACTGGTATTTTGTACCATTCCTCTATTACTATTTCTTCCAAATCTTTAACTGATTTTGGTAATCTTTCATGAAACGTAATTTTAAAATTGCCCGAGATTTTCAATCGGATTAAGATCTGAACTCCGGAAAGACCAATCTAAAATATTAATATCGTTTTTTCAAACCAATCATCTGTAATCTTAGTTTGTGACTAGAACCTTTATATTACTGGAAAACAAAATTTTCATCCAAGCCTTAATCCTTAGCTGAATTTTTTAGACTCTTGTTTAAGATCTTAGTATACATGATTGCATTCATATTTCTTTTAATCATTTTTAATCTACCTACACTAGTGTATGAAAAACAACCTTAAAGTTTAATGTTTCCTTTACCATGTTTTACCGTGGGTATTAAGTATTTTTTTAAATATCTATGTCATACCCTGTAAAGTAGGAGGTATGCGTTGTAGTATTCCTTGCACGGTTCAAGGACTGTTCACGTGTTAAATGTTTAAAAGATTTGTTTGTTGTAATCATCATTTATTTAAAATGGATTTTCTTTAAATATTTATAAAGGGGGGATTGATCAATCATTTAATGATTGGTTTATGAATCAATTCGTACTGACGTAAGATGTCACAATCTATTACTCCTTTCTCTTCTAACATAAATTCATCCATCAGATCCAAACATATTAATTTTAGTCTCATCAGACCAAAGAATTTGTCTCCAATAATTTTTTTCCTATAAATTAACTTTTGTAAAATCATATCTTTTTTTTAATTTTTATCTAAAAGCATTGGTTTTTTACAGGAAATAAAACCATCAAGATTATTTTTACTTAATTCACGTCGAATAGTACGAGGAGAAACCTTAATATTCTTTTCATCTTTAATTTCTTTGGATAATTTTGTAGATCCTATTTTAGGATTAATATTAATATTTTCTTTAAAAAATTTTATATCACTTTTATCTAGTAATTTTGGTCTTCTGCTTCCCTTTTTACGTAAAACAGTATTATTTTTGTTAAATTTAGATATCAATCTTGATATTGTAGATTTATTAACATTAAATTTTTCTGCTAATTGAACTTGTAAATAACTCTCTTGATATAATGTAATAATTCGTATTTTATTATCGTGTGATAAATTTCTTGTCATTTAAAGGAAAAAAAAACAATATTAGATTATTAAATTTGGAGGGAAAACTTTTTAAATTCTGAGTTGCAAATTTTTTGACCAGCTGT